GCCTTTTATCTAAATTGAACTAAATCTTTTAGGCATTCTTCCAAATGTATTGTGTCATATGCCAAGAGAGTTAAAGGTAAACAGATTTATTCTCAGAAGCTTTCAAATTGAATTTCAAGACATTAAATTGTGCTATATGCTTGCAGGTCAGGATCCCCCATTAGTAATTAGAACCCATTGTACAAGGGCCCAAGATGCTTCTGTAACTTCCTTTAATAATGCCTCCATTTTAGAAATTGTAAGGCAGCCACATGAGCTTCTGTTAATACTTTCAGAAAACCTTATGTAATTGGACAGGCAACTTGAAAAGATACAGCCTTTGGTAGAGTAGTACTTTGATCTGTCTTTATGTAAGACTTCAATACCCACCTCCATCTGTAAACTGCTTTTCAATCTCTAAGAGTGGAAGTCATAGATAATCACTCAATATAGAATGGGGTATAACTGGTTTGGTAACTACACTGCTGAGGAGGCTCTTGGAGTTGTGGCGGATCACAACTTCAACATGAGTCAGTAATGTGATGCTGTTGCAAAAAAAGCAAAGGTAATTTTAGGTTGCATTAATGAGAGGCATAGCATGCAAGTCACGGGAGGTGATAATACTGCTGTTCTTGGCACTAGTTAGGCCTCAGCCAGAGTACTGTGTCCAATTTTGGTCACTAATGTATAGAAAGGATGTGAAGAAACTGGAAATGATCCAGAGGGGAGCAACAAAAATGATCAAAGGGATGGAATGCAAGCTATACGAGCAAAGGCTGAAGGAACTGGGTATGTTTAGTTTGGAAAAGAGGAGATTGAGGGGGCATAACAGCGGCTTTCAAATATTTGAAAGGCTGTCATAAAAAAGAGAAAAGTTGTTCTCTCTTGCCGCAGAGGGCAAGGCAAGAAGCAATGGGTTTAAACTACAGCATAGCAGATTTAGATGAATTCTCAGGAAAAACTTCCTAACTGTAAGAACAGTAGGACAATGGAACACACTGCCTCGGGAGGTTGTGGAAACGCCTTCGCTGGAGGCTTTCAAAAGGAGGCTGTCATGGATGGTTTAGACACAACAAATCCTGTGTCTTGGTAGGGCTTAGACTAGATGACCCTTGTGGTCTCTTCTAATCTATAGAATATATAGCAAGTTTATACCTTGACATATGTTGTTATATTTTATATTGAATTTTAAACAGGTTTATTTTTTTTAAAATAAACTTATTTGATTTAAATAAAAATAGTGTAAATAAAATCATTTTAAATTTAAAAAACAATTATTTTATCCACCGTTATTAAATGATATTGTTAATATTGTTGTATCACCTAGAGGGCACAGTCAGGTTGTGTTTCCATCATTTTAGATGCTGTACAATGTATACAGGGCTTCTGATTTTTTATTTTAATCAATTAACTCTGATAAAACACTAGTGATTTTTTTTAGAAGAAATTGGTGTTCATGCAGTAAACACCAGAAAAACACTGGAAATGGTTACTTGTAATAGCCATTGATGGACCTATCCTCCATGAACTTATCTAGTTCGTTTTTGAACCCTGTTATAGTCTTGGCCTTCACAACATCCTGTGGCAAGGAGTTCCACAGATTGACTGTGCATTATGTGAAGAAATGCCTTCTTTCTTTTAATGCCTTCTTTTCTTTCTTTTAAGTCTTGCCTATTAATTTCATTTGGTGAACCCTAGTACTTGTGTTATGAGTAAGGCTGCAAGTTTGTCACGGATTCCGTGACTTTCTTGGACTTCCGTGACTTCTGCAGCGGCCGGTATGGCTGGCCCCGGGGCCACCTGAGCAACTCAGGCAGGTTCTGGGTCGGCTGAAAGCTGCTGCTGGAGCAGTCTCAGCCCACTGCACCCCTTTCCCCCAGTAGCAGCAGGAGTTTGGGTGTGGGAGGGGACTCACGGCTGGGGGTTGGGGCACGGGAGGGGGTGAGGGCTCTGGGCAGTGCTTACCTCGGGAGGCTCTCTGGAAGCGTCGACATTTCCCTCCCTCAGCTCCTTGCTCCATGCGCTGCCTCTGCCTGCAGATACCACCCCGCAGCTCCCATTGGCCACAGTTCCCAGCCAATGCCAGCTGCGGAACTGGCGCTTGGGGTGGATGCAGTGCGCAGAGCTGTCTGGCCGTGCCACCGCCTAGGAGCTGAGAGAGGGGGATGTTGACACTTCCGGGGAGGCACGGAGTCAGGTAGGGAGCCTATCAGCCCTGCCGCCCCCCCCCCCACACCAGTGGGGATTCCAGGCTGCCCCCCCAGTGCCTGTAGTCACCTGGGCCACCCACCCAGCACCCTCTGCACCCCCAGGCTGCCCCCCATGACACCCCTGGGCTGCCCCCCCCACCCCCAAGATTTAGTCAGGGGTATATAGTACAAGTCATGGACAGATCACGTGCCATGAATTATTGTTTACTGCCCATGATCTGTCCATGACTTTAACTAAAAATACCCATGACTAAAATGTAGCCTTAGTTATGAGAAGGAGTAAATAGCACTTCCTTATTTACTTTCTCCACACCAGTCATGGTTTTATAGACCTCTTTCATATTCCCCCTTAGTCATCTCTTTTCCAAGCTGAGAAGTCCCAGTCTTCTTAATCGCTCCTCATACCCCAATCATTTTTTTGCCCTTTTCTGAAGCTTTTTCGATTCCAATATATCTTTTTTGAGATGGGGTGACCACATCTGCGCACAGTATTCAAGGTGTGGGCGTACCATGGATTTATATATAGCCAATATGATATTTTCTGTCTTGTTATCTATCACTTTCTTAATGATTCCCAACATTCTGTTCACTTTTTTGACTGCTGCTGCACATTGAGTGGATGTTTTCAGAGAACTATCCACAATGACTCCAAGATCTCTTTCTTGAGTGGTAACAGCTAATTGAGACCCCATCACTTTATATGTATGGTTGGGATGATGTTTTTCAATATGCATTACTTTGCATTTATCAACATTGCATTTCATCTTCCATTTTGTTGCCCAGTCCCTCAGATTTGTGAGATCCTTTTGTAGCTCTTCGCAGTCTGCCTGGGACTTAACTATCTTGAGTAGTTTTGTATCATCTGAAAATTTTGCTGCCTCACTGTTAATCCCTTTTTCCAGATCTTTTATGAATATTTTGCATAGTACTGGTCCCTGTTCAGACCCCTGGGGAACACCACTATTTACCTCTCTCCATTCTGAGAACTGACCATTTATTTACCCTTTTGTTTCCTATCTTTTAACCAGTTACTAATCCATGAGAGGACCTTCCCTCTTAACCCATGACAGCTTACTTTGCTGAAGAGCCTTCGCTGAGGGACCTTTTCGAAGGCTTTCTGAAAATCTAAGTACACTATGTCCACTAGATCACCCTTGTCCACACACTTATTGACACACTCAGCGAATTCTAGTAGATTGGTGATGCATGATTTCCCTTTACAAAAACCATGTTGACTCTTCCTCAACAAATCATGTTCATCTAAGTGTCTGACAATTCTGTTTACTATAGTTTCAACCAGTTTGCCCGGTACTGAAGTTAGGCTTATTGGCCTGCAATTGCCAGGATCACCTCTGGAGCCTTTTTAAAAAGTTGGTGTCACATTAGCTATTTTACAATCATCTGGTACAGAAGCTGATTTTAATGATAGGTTACATACCACAGTTAGCAGTTGTACAAGTTTTCATTCAGTATGATAAACAATTATTTTCCTTGTTAACTCAGAAAGAAGAATATGCAAGGAAGAAGGTGTTTTTTTAATTCATTGAACACCAGTGTGTAGTTATGACTGAATACCTATTTGCAATTCTAGAATAAAAGGAGACAAATTTGAATATTTCATGTGTTCTGGGTCCAAATGTAGGAGAATGCTTGATACTTCTGAATTGGCTATTTGTTTTTACTACTGGAAGAAGAATGTGAATGAAAACCAACCATGGCAATCAGTCATAATAGAAAAATGCTTGTAATAACTAATGTAATCCCAGCCCTGAGGCGTGTCTTAAGCCTTCTCCTTGCTGCTTGGAGTGATTTCTCCCTTCTCACTTTAGGAGTTTGGGTCCTGAGTTCTCTATCTTGGAACCTGGTGCCTCCAACCAAGGTGCCCCTTATTGCCTGGAACACAAGCAGGCTTTCCCTTGGGAAAATGTTTACTAACAGATAATATACTAGGATTGTAGTACAATATGCAAAAAATAAAATAATTATCACTATTCCCAAAGTAACAGTACAACAGCAGAGGGAACTTTATTAGGTACAGGGAACAAAGGGTAAGGGATAAGGAAAGAGAAGAAGTAACTAGAATAATCAAATAACAATCTTACACCCTTCTCCTCCCAGCATTTACAATCAGCCCAGACCTCGCTGCTCCCTCCCAAAGCCCGCCTGGGCAGATAGTGAGTTGAGAATCAGTTCTTTACTGGGTGATGCAGCACTGTAATTGTTGGCTGGCTTAAAACGCGCACATAAAATAAATAGACATAGAATTCCTTATGAGGTCTTCGCCCTAAAAGGGTAGTTTCTTCCTGAGGCTCACTGGTCTGGAGTCCAATAGAAAATTAGGTTGGCTCTTGGTAGCCTGGCCTCCTCAGCCTCCTGTGAAGTTGGTCTCATGGGCTGACATCCTTTTAACAATGCAGTAACCACGAACAGAGTTCAACGTTTCTGGTCCACCCAACAACAGCCAAAACCAAAAATAGCCGAAAGTAAAACAAAACTCGTTGTCTCTGGGTTCTGGTTTATGAATGGTTCTTGTAGTAGCTTTCAACTTGTTCAATCTTCACCCTGAACTCTAGGCAATCTTGGAAACTTAGTCCTCAGCCTCTGTAGCCATTGCTTTTGAGGCTCTGAGTAATATGACAGGAACAACCAGCTCCAGAGAGGGTTACACTAATTAAAGTTATTTTTTCTTTTCTCGATATTACTTTATTCAATAATCTAGTTTATTTTGTTGGTAAAAAATAAACCAGGACTGTTTCTTTGAATATCCACTGTGTATTTTAAATTCATTAAAATTTCTTCTTTTTTATACAGAGCTATGATAAATGTTTTCTTGGCTCTTCAGAGACAGCTGATGCAAATAGAGTGTTTTGTGGTCAACTTGGAGCAGTATATGTGTTCACTGAAGCACTCAATCCAGCACAGATATTTGCAATACATCAGTTAGGACCTGGATATAAGGTAATAACTTAATTTATTTCACAAATATAAAAATAGTTTTCCAATTAAAAACACAATGAGGTATTTTTATTTTTTTAGCCAAAGATTTTGTTTGACTGCACCTCTTTTGGGACTGCTTGAGTGGAGGTTTGTGAAATGTTCTCAATGAAATATAAACCACATCTGTGTTTTCCACATCTGTGTCTTTACCAATCAGAAATTCAACCAGCTTTTTAAAAGATTCACTAAATTTTGTTTTCCTTTCAAGCATACTTGAGTGTACAATGTGTGTTTGGGTCAAAAAGAAATCATGTGAAATTGCAATTATATTCTATTCCAAACAAGGGAAATCAAGCCTTTTTATTGTTTTGTACCCCAAACTCAGAGAGAGGTAACAGACCAAGACGGATCAAAATGTAACCATCTACTCTTATAAAGTGCAAATTCAGAGTTTAAAATGGTTCTGCAGTTGAAATATTAGTGGTCCTTTGGTTTTCATGGTTGTGCTGATGCCATCACGCTAATATTTTCGACAAATTGACGGTACATACGTTACTTTGTTCTCTGATAAAAGCAATATTTATTATTTTCTGTGGAAACTGTAAATAGCATTATTTTAGCTGGTTTGTCTAACTGCAGCAGTTAAGGCATGAGGATGGGAGACAGAGCTGGATTCTATTCCAGACTCCTCTTTGGTGACATAGTGTCAATCTTTTTGAGACTCAGTTTCCCCGTTTGTAAAATGGTAAAACTTTTGGTATTGTTTTTAAAGCACTTTGAGTCCCTCAGAAGTCAGGTGCTATGTATGTGCAAAATACAGAATTTAAATTAACAGATGAAAATAAGGTAAGATACATTTAAACTCCATTAACATTTGGTATTACATTAGGAAAATGATCCTGTAAAAACAAAGTTGTCGTGATATACAGTGAGACTATAAATGTCTCTCATGCTATGTGTATTATATGAATAGGAGAGTATATGTGAGGTACATAGATAATAGGAAATATGTCCTATGTGACTGGTATTTGTAGGTTTTTCTGGAATTCGAAACAATCATATTCACTAGCAGTGAAACAAAACACAATACCTAGTAGACTGTGTATGTTAATGCTTAGTGGAATGAAAGTTGCTTTAGTTCACTGTTTTGTGTCCGAGATCTTGTCTCATTTATTATGGTTGTGGTATCTATTCATTGGTCAACACTTGCAGTGATATTGTGCAATGAGATATAAGCTTTCCTTTATAGAAAAATTAGATATCTAATCCTGATGTTTGTAATGATAATCTTGCCAACATTAAGGATAAATCAATTAAACAATTCCTACTGGAGTTTGCAGAAAGTTTGGAATAATCATTCTGGGATCTGTGAACTCCAAAAACAAAAGCAGACAGTTTAAATACTAACTTTAATTCGTTCACTGCAGATCATTTTATTAGAATCATACAACTACCAGGTTTCTCTCACAATTCCAGGTGGTCTGGTGCACATCCCCCATGCTGAAAGTGTTGTTTCACTTCTGAGCTGCCAAAATCTCAAAATTCCTTCTTGTCAACTTCTATTATGCATTGTATATAAAGTTGCTGTTATACAGAGAACTAGAAAATGTAGTGACCGTGTATAATGAAGTATAATATCACAGTAAATGGGTACTGACTGTATGACTTATTTTCATATTTAATTAATTTAAAAACTCAATTAAAAAAAAGCTGCAGAATTTGTAGTCTGCCATATTAGAACACACAATTCTGGAAACTTCTCAAAAGGTTTGTAGGTCAGTTCCGATAAGTATCCAGATGTTGCCCAGCTATATGAAAACTCTGTAGTTATTATCCTGGGCTGGAAACACTAGAAGAGATTTTTTGTAGTGGCTTTTCAAACTCTACATGTCTGTGCTTGGATAGAAAAACAATTGAGATGCACAAAAACCCCAAAGTAAAGATCATATATTTTAGACAAAGGTTGGGGGTATTTACTTATCTCTGAGCTATTTCACCATCTTGGATGATAATATCAAAGTGTAAAACTGGCACAATATAGTTTTGGGGTGTCACAGGAGAAGCATTTTGATGAGGAATAAGGGAAGTTAGTGAGAAGTATGAAGGAATACAGTTCTTCTAGATGGCATGCTGAGAAATTACCTCAGTGAAGTGTCTTTTGGAAATGATAGAAGGTTTTCATGTGTCCACTACCATACTGCCCCAAAACCAATTTCCTTTATTCCTCTTAGACAATTCAACCTCCATTGTCACTCGATTACAGACTTCAAAGTCGCAATCGCCAACAAAAAAACTTCAAAAACAGACTCCAACGAGAAAGTGCAGAATGGGAATTAATTTGCAAACTGGACACCATTAAATTAGGCTTGAATAAAGACTGGGAGTGGATGGGTCATTACACAAAGTAAAACCTATTTCCCCATGCTAATTTCCCCCCCTACTGTTATCACTACAAAAGTTTTTTTTTCTCCTGCTGATAATAGCCCATCTTAACTGATTACTCTCATTATAGTTAGTATGGCAACACCCATTTTTTCATGTCCTCTGTGTGTGTGTATATATATCTACCTACTGTATTTTCCACTGCATGCATCCAATGAAGTGGGTTTTAGCCCACAAAAGCTTATGCTCAAATAAATTTGTTAGTCTGTAAGGGCTTGTCTATACTTACGCGCTGGTTCGGCGGCAGGCAATTGAACTTCTGGGTTCAATTTATCGCGTCTTGTCTGGACGCGATAAATCGAACCCAGAAGTGCTTGCCGTCGACTCCGGTAATCCTGCTCGGCGTGAGGAGTACGCGGAGTCGAAGGGGGAGCCTGCCTGCTGCGTCTGGACCGCGGTAAGTTCGAACTAATGTACGTCGACTTCAGCTACGTTATTCACGTAGCTGAAGTTGCGTACCTTAGTTCGAATTGGGGGGTTAGTGTAGACCAGGCCTAAGGTGCCACAAGTACTCCTCATTCTTTTTGCTGATACAGACTAACATGGCTACCACTCTGAAATATTTAGGTCTGGTTCCTCCCTGAAGAAATGGTCTTTCTGTGTGTTCTGAGACCCCATGTATTCATAATTTTTATTCTTGTTACTTTAACAACTGCAAGGTTAATAGAAGACAGCATACTCTCTTCTCTTAGACTTGGTTTAAAAGCATTTGAACCCTTACTTTTTTGAGCAAGGTGACATGATAGATTAGTATACTGCTGTAAATCGATAATGTACTAAAAAAGCCTAGCAGCAGGAACATCTCTTAGCAGTCACAAAAAAAGAGTAAGTCAGGTAGATAGGAACAAAAATAGAAAAGATGTCTGCCTGAGGTGCTATCAAAATTATACCAGACAATTAAGAAGGATGCCAAAGTCATAAATATACTAAGATTCAGAATTAAGGCCACTTTACAAAACAGTGATGAGGATGCTCAGATGCTCAAATAAAAGGCTGCTCAATTCTGAACATTTATCTGTTAATGATTAATACCAAAATTTTTAATATATATACAGAAAATACAGTGTTGGTATCGACATCCCTAAATAATTGGGTCTCAGTAACACCATATTATTCTCAATCCTATATGTCTTATAGATCATTGGTAGGGTGACCATACATCCCGTTTTGGGTGGGACAATCCCTTTTTTAAGTGCTGTCCCGGCTGTCCTGACTTTTTTTGGCAAAACTGGACACTTGTCCGGTTTGCTCTTGCCAACTGATCAACTGGACAAATGCACAGTTTTGCCAAAAAGTGGGGTGCGACCCCCAGCGGGGTACAGTGTGGGAGGAAGGGCTCAGGAGAGTGGCTCAGGCTGGGCTGAGCGGGTGGGTGGCAGGGGGGTCTCAGGCTGGCCCCACATGCCAGGGAGGAGAGTTTTTTCCCTTTGGGAAAATATGGTCACCCTAATCATTGGAATATATTAATCAGGGTGGATTTGATTTAAATTACTAGACAGGAAGACTCGATTTAATCATGTTTTTCTACATAAAAGTGCATTCTTGTTGGTTGTTATAACTTTAATACATATTCTTCATAACTCAGAGATAGATGTAGGTTTCATTTTTAGAAGGTACACACTATACATTTGTAAACAGTGATTTATTTTGAAAACTTTTCAGATTAGTTTTACAGCTATATTAGAAAATGAATGATTGTTTGGTTATTTCATTTACCAAAGGTAATTGAAGCAGATATTTATGAAGTCATTGGGAGGTGAACTATCTCCAATTCAACAGGCTAATCATCACCAGACAGAGCATGTAAATTGTTTTATTTAACTAAAACAACAACGTTATATATTCTGGATTTTTTTCTTCAGCAGCAAACATATAATATTTTAACAAAACAAGCATATGTCCCTCGCTTCTCACATTTATCGCCAGACTTCTTCTCCTTGTCCAGATCTATTCCGCCCCCAACAATCTTCTATTCATTGAACTTTTTGAAACTTTGCACTTTAGAGAGAGATAAGGGCTTTACTCTGTGTACACAAATTAGCAGAGGGACAATAGAGTTGAGGTCTGTTATTTCTCACCTCTATATATTTATTTATTTAAAAAACATTTTTTGCTGGTAACAAGCACGTTACCTCTGGGGAGAGAAATCCACAGTTTGAGAACTGCAAAACTAAGCATCTCTGATGGTATCTTCTACACTGAGCACTGAGTCCAATTGGGTAGATAGAAAGATTAACCTAAATAATCTATACAGAAGCCTGTGGAACCCCATAAAATTGGGTCCCTAATCCATGAACTATTGGAACTCATTTACAAAACTTTTCTTAAACATTACATGAATATATTGTCTCATACTGTAGAATTAGAATTTATAATCCCTATTCCATGATGAGATATCTTTGAGCTATAATGTATCTTAATTAAAACTATCTTTAGATAGGTTTTTTCCTCAAAAAACATTTTATCAAAAAAATCTGATTTAGGTAAAAAAAATAAATTTTTTTTAAATTAAAAAAAATCTGATTTCTATCCACCCTAATATGATTTAAATATGGGATGAAAACAACTTTGACAAAGCT